TAGTCTTCCCAACGTTCATTGTTTTCTGCTTCGTGAAGTCTCCGAAGCATGTCGTACAGCATCCGCCATTCTTGAATGTTTCTCAGTCTGCAGCTTTCTTTGCTTTCAACCAAAATTTCGGCTGTTCCCCCATACACATACACCGTTCGTTCTTACATACCATACTGCTTTGTGATACCACTCCTAAATTCTCTGTACATATTACTTGACTTGGTTCGTCGATCCCTCTACTGTATATTATGTTCTTGAAGGTGTTCTTTTTGGGCTGCAGTACATTACACTACCATGCATTAACTTCCCACTGCCCCTATATTCATCTGTACTCTAAACATTCCATCTATTGTCTATATACGCAACTTACGTAGTATTATTGGTTTCTGTTGCTGCCCTTCTGCACATCCAACCTTTTGTAGCAACTTACTGTACTCATCTTTATTACACCTATACAATTAGAATTGTGTTCTTTCTCCATGACGTTGTGATGTTCTCTCAACATTCTCCTAGTGGAGTAACGCCTGTTCCGAGCATCCTGCTCCCCATCCGATAAGAAACTCAGGTTTGACAGTGCTTCTTCAGTTTTGATTCAGTTTTGATCCCATGAACGAATTCCTTCAAATTGCCTTCAACGGGCGCATCGCTGATGATAGGTCTCCTCGAAGGTTGTTCGCGGTGATTCGTGATTCGTTGATCCCTCGACTGAAAAGGATTAATACAGTCACGTAAAGGATACATGTGTGCAAGGAAGGTGAGGTAATTCAGTCGTTAGCATCGAGGCAAACATATGCCTGATCTCGGAGGCCTCTAATTTTGTTCCCTCACTCGCTGTACCCTGAAATTCTTTGTCTATCTGGGTCCATTCTCGTATTTGGCTAAAGAGGCATCAGCTGTCCACCTGGCTCATATTTATTGACTTCAGATCGATGCTTCAGGACTTGACGCACCGAGGAACAAATTCTACAATTGAATAGCCTCTCCTAGAATCACGGGTTGTGGGTACCAGGTAATCGCATAGCTACGAGCCTGTGGTGGCTACATCTGATGGGGAATCTCGGAGTGAATCTAAAATGTGTGGTCATTGCGGCGACATGCCAACTGGAAGTCAGGGTCACCGAAGGAGTCGGTCGGGCACCCATCCAGCAAGTTGCGTGTCGAGGGTTGGCGCCGGTTGTCTTCGAAGGGTCGACGATTTCTCAAAGCCGAATAAGCATTTGTCAAGTCACATCAAATGATCGAATTCCTTGTGTTTCGACTGCCAGAAACCATCGACCAAGATATATATTCATTGCCGGCTTCTTGATAAATGGGAGTTGATGGGGAGCAAGCGAAGGGGAGAGCGGAGACGCCCGTCTGTTTGAACCCTAAGTGTCAAACCAGCGGCGTTTGTGCAGAGGGTACTGACGTCTTAAATATAACTTAAGCACCAAGGAGAAAAGCACCAAGGGAATCATCGCTAAGTCCAATCATCATGGAGAAGGAGTGCGAGGCACGAATACCAGGATAGAACCTGTTGACCTGACATAAGGAACAAAGAAATAACGGACAAACAGGGATGCAGCAAATAAAGTTTAAATCCCGTGGGACTCGAGAAAACCCTGGAATTCCGGAAATTGGGGCATGAATGAAGGCGAGGAAGCTGAGAGAAAGTGTATGACTCTTTCGAATTCGCCTCTGCAGATCCGAAGCAAAGTAACAAAGGTACGTTATAAGCGATTGCCGACAACGAGAAGTTGTTGAAGAGTGATTGGGATTATACATATATGGTCTTGAAAAAGATCTACCCTGGTGACTGCGTGTACCCAGCGGCGCAGAACAATCGACTGTGCACGTGACTCGAGACCGCAGCCAGACTCGCTTGATCACTTGTTTATCGCAAAGCATCA